GAAAAAGTGGCATAGATACTGAAAACAATACTATATGACTTTAAAAAAAGACATTTTCCCATTTACTCCAACGTAAGTGGAAGTGGGACACAATATGCAAATGAAGATAGCAGATAAAGAAAAACAAATATTGAATTATCTCACCTATATGTGGAACCAAAGAGAAGGTGATCTTTTAGAAACAGAATAGAAAGCAAACAGCTACCAGAGGTTGGGGGAGGGGTGAGGAAAAGGAAAATGTTGATAAAATGGCACAAATTTTTAGGTTTTCTGGAAGAAATGCTTAAGTGACCAATTGCTCTGCATGGAGACCACAGATAATGTATTGCATATTACAAAATTACAAAATAATAGAATTTTAATATTCTTATCATAAAATGATAAGTTGGTTATGTGATGTATATATTAATTGTCTTCCATGCCCAGAATAGTGAAAGCAATCCTTAGTGAGAAAAGTGAAATGGAATATGATATCACAATACCAGACCTAAAATTATACTACAGAACTATAGTAACAAAAACAGCATGGTGTTGGCAACAAAACAGACATGAAGACCAATGGTACAGAGTACAGGACAAGAGTCATGCCAACATCAATATAGTTATCTCATACTAGACAAAGGCCCCATAAACATACACTGGAGAAGAGATAGCCTCTTCAACAAATAGTGCTGGGAAAACTGGAAATCTGTATGTAGCAAAATGAAATTCAACCCTTTCTCTCACCCTGCACAAAACTCAATTCAAAATGGATCAAGGATTAGACCAGAGACCCTACTCCTACTAGAAGAAAAATTGGGCCCAACCGTTCATCATATTGGCTTAGGAAACAATTTCCTCAACAAGACTCCTGAAGCACAAGAAGTAAAATCAAAAATCAATAAATGGGATGGTATCAAACTAAAAAGCGTCTTTAAAACAAAAGAAACAATCAAGAATGTGAAGAGAGAGTTCATAAAATGGGAGAAAATCTTCACCACACACACATCAGATAGAGCACTGATCTCCAGGATATATAAAGAACTCAAAAAACTTAACACCAAAATAATAATAATAATAATAATAATAATAATAATAATAATAATAATAACAAAATCAGTAAATGGTCAAAGGCACTGAATGAGCACTTCACAAAAGAAGAAATAGGATCAGTCAACAAATATATAAAAAATGTTCAACATCTCTAGCAATTAGAGAAATGCAAATTAAAACTACACTGAGATTTCATCTCACTCCATTTAGAATGGCAATTATCAACAATTCAAGTAATAAATATTGGTGAAGATGTGGGGGAAAAGGTACACTTATATTTTGCTGGTGGGACCACATATTGGTGCAACCATTATGGAAAGCAGTATGGAAATTCCTCAGAAATCTTGGAATGGCACCACAATTTTGACCCAGCTATCCCACTCCTTGGTATATACCCGAAGGACTTAAAATCAGCATACTATAGTCAAGCAGGCACATTGGTATTTTTAGTGTCTCAATTCACAATAGCTAAGCTATGGAACCTACCTAGGTGTCCTTCAATGGATGAATGAATAAAGAAAATGTAGTATATATAAACAGTGGCATATTATTCAGCCGTAAAGAAGAATGAAATTATGGCATTTGCCAGTAAATAGATTGAACTGAAGATATCATGCTAGGTGAAATACGCCAATCTCCAAAACCAAAATGCTGAATGTTTTCTCTAATATGCAGGTGCTAACACACAATAAGGGGAGGAATAGAAGTTCATTGGATTAGTCAAGAAGGGATGAAGGAAAGGGACAGAGGATGGGAATAAGAAAGATAGAAGATAAAATGGACATAACTTTCCTATGTTCATATATGAATACATAACCAGTGTAACATCATGTACAACCATGTACATCCACAAGAATAGGAAGTTATACTCCATGAATGTAAAATATATCAAAATACACTCTATTGCCATGCATGTCTAAAAAGAACAAACAAAAAATTTAAAAAATTAAAAATCATATTGTACCTCATAAATGCACACAATTATTATTAGTTAATTAGTAATGCATTTTGAAAGAAAATGCATGATTAAAATAAATGTATCTATAGAAATTACCACAGCAAATTATATGCAACATATCTGAAACTACATTTAAGATGCAAATTTCTTTTCTGAACATAACTACAAAAAAATGAAAGAAAGGCATTTCTCACTTTCTGGATTTTTCATAAGTATGTTCACAGGTTGTTGGCCAGGTATAGAACACACACATTGCAAATATCATTCTTATTAAGTAGACAGGAAGTGTGAAGTCAGAAAATTTCCCTCTACACTATCTTGTAATGCCTTTCTTTTTTACTCCTTTGCCCCCTTTTCAATCACTAAGAACCTTTTGAAGTGCCAGCCTTCCTTGTTTGAGAAAATCTAACAGCTGGCTGATAAATCTAGCTCATAAATGCATTCATTGAATTTTCACTAGCTTAACCTAATGCCACTAACAGGAGCATTCGCATTTCAAGAATAGGAATTCAGAGAGGCAGTAAGTAACCTCTGGGAATAGATTACTAATAACGTCATTTCTGGTTAGAAGCAGACATGCAGGCAGGACTAGGAAACACATCAGTGTGGGTGCATTTTCCCTACATCAAAATAATATACTTAAGCAGTTGCCAATTTGTAAGTCTAACTCTAGTGGTATGTTATCATTTTATATCCCTAGAAACTATGGAAAAGTATTATTTTTCCAATCTTGAGCAATAAATTTGACCAAGTGGAAAAATGTATCATGTTCTAGTGAATAATTCCTTTCTCCGCCTTCTAGGACACCCACATTCACAGCTGCAGAAACCAAGACATCAGCACAGAGTCAGCCAACGGTAATCCCTCCCTTCCCCAAGGGTTCTACAATTCAGCAACTGACTAGTCCCTACTAAGCACCAGCTTTGGACTAAACTTCGCTGTTAGAAATACATAGATAATTAATTTCTCCCTTCCCCCACCCAATCTCGAAAGCTTGTTGAATAACCAGCCTCCTCCTCAGAAAACTTGCTTGGTGGGTGGGGGAGGGACAGCCTACTGGGAAAGAAAAAAAAGTCCACCCAGAGATTTCAAGTCCTCTAAGGAGGTCCTTTCCTCACAATCCCGCCAAAACTGAACTTCTGCGGAAGGTCAGTCCAAGGAGTACTGCTGACCTCAGCTTTTCTGGAGGTCCCCAGAGCCATGCAGCTGCTTAGCTTGCCTGGGTTTCATATACTCAGTCTCAAACCCAAGTTTCAGTTACTCTGGAACCACTTCCATGGAGGAAAACCCCACCTATACTTGTGGTCAGAGAAATTAGGCAGAGCTTCTTTCAATATCCAACATTATGATGCCACTTGGCAACCATAATATGCAGATAGTGCCATCCTGTGAGTCATGCTCATGTAGTCTACAGCTGTTCATTACATTTTGTTTCTGGGGGGGAAAAACTAGTAGTACAATAAAGTCTTTATCCTGATATTTCACAGAAGAAACTTCACTGGCATGTCTTTTACTAAAATTCAGTATCTACAACACTTTAATCTGAGGAAATTCAGTATATAAAAATATACTGATTTGTCTGTATCATAAAAAGGTTGTGGTATGACTAGGTCTCACTGATATCTTGGTATGGCTTACACTAACTTCCCTAGGATTATATATATTTTTTACATACTGTGAATAATCTTACATACTTAAAAATCAAACTCCAAGTGTGAAGTCAGCCAACTTTAAAAAAGAACAAATATTTTGTTATTTCAAGTAAGGAAAATGGAAGAAATTCCTTCTAAAAACGACAGCAAAATACTTGGAACCGTTTCTTAAAATATTTCCCATGTTCTCAAATTAAAAATACATCCAAAGAAATGTTCATCGTAAGTTGAGAATCAGCCCCACTGAGATTTGACAGCTGTGCTAGCTTCTAGGGCTTGATGAAAATCCTTTTGTACTATTTGAAGCCATCAGGTCCCACCCGAGAAGGCATGCATGGAAAATGTCCCAATCCAAGAAAACATGTCAAGTCTCATTTTGTGAAAAGATTTAGGCATTTAAATATATTTACTACTTGAATGCTGTTTAATTTGGTTGACAGAAACCATGGCTTTAAAATTTTAAGTTTATTTTTTTCCACAGCTCACACTAAGAGAATTGCGTTTAATCAACCACAATCTTAATTTTGACACAGAATTGTTAGGAGCAGTGTTTAACATTAGCCTGGACTCCTGGTTTTTGTCAAAGGCATACTAAATTGTAGAGAAAGGAGCTTTCTATCTAGACAGCCTCATTTCCTTTCACAAAGCATGCAGCAGTTTCAGTGAACATTTTAACCACTTACACTTATAAATAGATATTACCTCACTGGAGTCTCCATTCTTCTTAATAATATATTTCCCCAAAGTAAGATATTAGCAGATTCATGGTAACATTTTCAATGGAAGCAGCAGAAATTTACTATCGTTTCCAATTTACGGAGACTTTTAAGTTCTATTTTTGAATGTATGAAAAGAAAGCCAAGAGCCTTACCCTTTCTACCCAGATATCCTGTAGAGAACTGCAGGCTTGTACAGCTACAAGAGGAAGTAACGTAGTTTATTCAGCAAAACAGGAAAAAAACAAAATCGTTTACCTCTAATGGGAGGTAGAACTGTTCGTCAGCATCACTCAGTTGTTTAGGAAAGCAGTCCCCTCAGAGGATATTGTGGGCAAAGAAAATTCAAAGTTTGGCTTTGATAAATTCAGAGTTTCCATGATTTGTACAACTTCTTCAATCAGGAACAGAGTATCTGACTTTAATTTGCCACGTATTACCATAGTTTTTTTTTTTTCAGTCTATTTTGAAAGTTTAAAGTGTGGGCTATGCAAAAACCCAGCTTAACTGTTAGAATTTTACTTTGTTATTTAAAAAGTGAGTTGTATTGTATTTAAAATTCTACTAAATTTATACAGAAAGCAATAAACATTATTTACACATTGATTCCCCATTGTCTATCCATCATATTTTCATCCTTACCATAACTTCTTCCTGCTTCAGTCCTCCAAGGCATCTACTTCTTGGGGAAGTTCATTTGTCTACTCTGAAGGCTATCAGGTAGCTATTCCATAGTTTGCTAATCTTGAAGAAAGTACTACACTTCCAGATACCATTACATCCCATGTATGCAATGGCTGCTGCTTCCATCTAAAGACATAAAAGGTCATGTGTCTTTGCTATGGTGCTTGGAAAAAGAATGTGTCAAAAATGCAGTGAGCTTCCTGCTATGCACACACCCATCTTACTCTATCATGATCTTTCTTCTTCCTTTTTTTTCTATGTGTATGCATGTGTATGTGTGAGTCAAATATGACTTTCAGACTGGCTGAATGAGGTAAATATTTCCAATCCATATTGAATTATTTAGCTCACACTGCTATGTTCTGCCATGTTGTCTGTTTCAAGTATACAAGAGGTAATAATAGGAAACCTTTTGGGAATCAGGGCAAACTTTATTGGGTCACCAAAAAGAAATGATGTGGGGTCACCAGAAAGACTACTTGACAATGTCTCCCATAAAGATAACTAACATAACTCTTTGAGACATTCTTTTTTGGTTAAGACTTGTTCCCTTCCTATACTTATCTTCAAATATGCTAGTTGTAACGTATTAAATTCTTAAAAGTAATGAAAATGTGTTTGTTGGGTAGCATTAGGCATGGGTGGAAGAAAAGCAAAATGCCTAAAGATGCAGACAATTGCTCAGAAAAAAATGGTAAATATTTCAAAGACAAACTTCCAAGGTTTCATGATATTGATATTGGCGACATTGGAAGGGCTCACCAACAGTTATTTAACAGACTTTTGTCTGAAAATATCATTAACTGCAGCAAAAGCAAAACTTTGAAACCAAAAATTCATCCCTAAAAATGTTAGTTTCACTATTGAATGTAGTTATAGTTTGAATATCTAAGATTTTAAGTGGCTCTCTGACAACTTCTGGATATTTTCCTTTTAAATGTAAAAATGTGAAAGTGTGTGTGTGTGTGTGTGTGTGTGTGTGTGTGTGTGTGTGTAGTATAGAAGGAAAATCAAATGATCATAATACTGTTATAGGCCATGATAGCTTAACAAAGGTTGTGCCCTGAGGAGTAATGTAAACAAAGCCAGGGCCATGGCATATGATTATATGCAGTGAAAATCTGCAAAAGAGTAACAATAATCTGAAATGTGCATGAAGCTGAAATTCAAGCCAAGAAGTGCTTCTTAGCACAGTGCTTCTTCACCTGCAGGAAGATGTATAGTTTTCCTTCACAAAAGGCAATCCTTTTAAACAGAGAACCATGTGAGAGTGGAAGACACACTTTTTTCTAATTTTTTAAAGGAGACAAATGGACTAGAAATGATTCTGATGAAATATATTATTTTTTTTTACATAATCTGAAAATAAGATACAAATAAATTGGTGGAGCAAGTCTGAAGGCAAGAAAACAAGTCAGGAATATCATGACATTCCAAGTATAAGTTAATAAGGATTTGGCAAGTATCATGAACAGGTCACAGGCAATTTCAAATTGGGGTTGATAAAGGTTGAATATCAGGAAGTGACTTGTTTATTGAAAAGAACTATATTGTTATTCCATCAAAAGAAGGTAGTCAGATCAGCTGCTTTAGGAAGTAGGTGTGATGATCATATAGTAGAGCTTTCGAATAATGGGACTGGGTAGCCAACTACATTAATGTTTTTCCCTCACTAGTTTCTAGTGTTTCAAGTTCCTTGTTCCATGTTCCTACCACAATCCTCTTTTGCTCTCCCTTAACATCAGGAGATCTTAATCTTGATTCCATGAATGGGCTTCTGTAGGTACACAAAACCCTTGAAATTGTGGGCATATTGTTGATTTTTTTATGTTTAACATTTTTAAGTGTCTTATTTTAGAATTGTTCTATTTGTCCTTCAAATTTCTTTTGGGGGAAGTAAATAGGAGACATGTATAAATGATAGAGACATGGAAAGATGATAAATAGATCTTCATTATCATTATGGCATCTGAGGGAGAATGAACAGACTGGAGTAATATTCTCTTTTTTTAGTACCTAGGAAGAACACTAGAACCCTCTACAGTGCTTTTTAATTTCTTATTTTGAGAAGGGTCTTGTTCAGTTGCTTTAGGACTCAGAAAGTTGGTGAGACTGGCCTTGAACTTGTGATCCTCCTGCCTCAGCCTCCAGAGTTACTAGGATAACAGGTGTGCACAACAGCACCTGGTTTGGAGTCATCTTTTTTTTTTTTTGGTCCCAGGGATTAAACCCAGGGGCACTTAACCACTGAGCCACATGCCCAGCCAGTTTTGTATTTTTTTTTTAAAGATATGGTCTCATTGAGTTGCTTAGGGCCTCACTAAGTTGCTGAAGTTGACTTTGAACTTGCAATTCCCCAGGCTCAGCGTCCGGAGCCACTGGGATTACAGGTGTGTACCACCATGCCTGGCTAGAGTCATCATTTAAGATTCAAAGTTTAGAAGAAAAGTTCAGTATTTTCACTTAGTACTTACAAATTTAATTTAAGCAGGAAAGAATAAGAATAATGGAAATTTTTAAAAAGTCTCAGAACCCATCATAGAGAAGAAATTCTATATACTGACAAATGTTGTAATGGTAAGAAGACAAAATTCTTAATTCCTATAGTCCATTGGCTTTCAGTAAACTAAGTTGAACAAAGTGTATGTGAACAAAGAATAAGAAGAGGAACTAATCCACTGTATACTTGCAGACTGTCACAGGTAAGATGGGTGATTACAAAAAGAAGAAATAAATTTGAGAGATGTTACAAAGGGAAAAAAAACTGGATTTTGTGTCTGACTTTGGAGATTTTGAGAGAGAAGAGACAATCAACAAGCAACGTATTTCAGGCCTAACTAACTAAGTTGATGATGTGAAATGGAGGCAGACATGGTGGCGCACACCTGTAATCTCAGTGCCTTGAGAGGCTGAAGCAGAAGGATTGTGAGTTCAAAGCCAGCCTCAGCAATTCAGTGAGGCCCTAAGTAACTCAGTGAGACCCTTTCTCTAAATATAATATAAAAAAGGGCTGGGGATGTGGCTCAGTAGTTATGCATCCCCGAGTTCAATACCCAGTACAAAAAAAAAAAAAAAAAAAAAGAAGGAGGAGGGGAGGAAGAAATGAAGGAAGGAAGAAATAGAACTTCACTCATCTGTTCAAGAAGTGTTTATTGAGCAACTAGTACCTGTAAGTACTTTGCTCCGTGGCACAGTAATAAGGTACGGCTTTTAGTCACAAGGATTTTAAAATATGTATTGGTATTACTGTTCCTACTAAAGGGACATGATTAGAAAGAAATCTCATCACTTTTAGAAAGAGTAGATAAGTAACAAAGAAGGGAGAAAACTCAAGAATTATTTATCTACTAACCAAAGCTACTTTGCTCACACAAATGCCTTGGATACATATACATGAACTTATTAAAATTCTCATTTTTCCTCTAATTGCTATGACTTGTCCCTTGATACACTTGTATTATAGCCCATTCTGCCCTCACTTTCACAAATTTCTCTGACTAAAATCAGCTTGAGATTCCAGTATTAATTGTCCTATTTCTAGGTGACTGAAGAAGGCTGTTAGCTTCCTTTAAACAGCATTGATTCCCTCTTGGCACCATTAAACAACAACAGAATCACTGTGCAGAGAAATCCATGACATTCCATTACATTCATGGAAATGGTTGATTAGAAGCAATTGGCCTAGATTTCTTGGTGTTTTAACCAGACCACAACAAGCTAATCTGCTTCAAGCCCTGTCACATATTTCTGTGAAACTGTATTGTGGGAGTCCTGTTTTCATATTCCTTACTGTTTGTGATGAGCTTTCAAGACACTTGCCGTTGTTTTTCAAACTTACAGCAATTGACTCAGAGACAGTTTTTTTTCTTTCATCCTGAAATAACTTCAAAGCCACTTGAAAAACCAAACCGTATTTTCCCACGGAATAGTAAAGCTTCTATATTTATGTATGAAGCAATTAATTAAGGTTTTCAAGAATTTCTTTAAGAATGGAAGTTTATTTAATTATTGTCTGGGTGGTAGGTTCTATTAGAATGCAAGAGCTGTTTATTTATGTTCTTTTTGTTCCTTGGAAAACTGGCTAAGAAGAATCCATTCCTTTAAAAAATATACTTAATCTGTTAATTCCACAAACTCTTATAAAATACCTGTCATATACTAAAGACTTTTTGGTGGTAGATAAATGAAAACATCATATCACCATTAAACAACAACAGAATCACTGTGCAGAGAAATCCATGACAGGGGTTTAGAGGAAATTCAAACTTAGATGAGCTATATTATTACCCTCATTTTACAGATGAGAAACCTGAGGCTTAAAAACTTCCTCAAAAACTTGTGCAAAACAACACACAGATAAATATTTTAAAGAGGATTTCCAACCATGCTTACCCAAGACCTCTGTTCTTTTAATTAAGTTATACTCTCTCTCTGAGGAAGGACACTACACTTTTACTTATTTTTTTCATATCTTATGTAGTAATCAAGATAAAACAATATTTGTGCATACCAAAAAACTTCATAAACTACTTAAAGTAATTCTTGTATGTTGACTAATTTATTAATGTTCATCAGCTACACAAACTCACACAGCAAAAAAATAAAACTCACTTTGGCATGTTCAGCCATTTTTGGTTACACAGCAGCTGCACAATCTGTTTTAGCTTCTTGGTGAAAGACTATCTCATTGCAGGTGGGGAGGAGTGTAATGTGAAATTTAAAGCCTGGAAAACAACAAAAGAGAAAGGAGACTTTCTCAGAGGGCAGTCTCCAGGTGCCCTATGAGTACACTTAAGCACATTTGTTTGGGAGACAGCTGGAGTATGGTCTAATTTGTAGAGTTACTCCATCTTCTATTTACTTATTTCTAGAGTCAATGTTTCCTATGCCTAAGTACTCTGTTAGGAGCTGGGTATTCAGAGATCAGCAAACCATTGTCCCTGACTTCAAGGAGTTTTTAATTTAATGTTTTACCAGTGTACCTCTGTAGATTTCTGTGACTTCTTTCATCTGGAGAATCCATTGAGACCACAAGGACCTACTTTTAGAAGAAGCTGAATTTGAGGAAGTGATTTTAGAGTACTCCCAACTACTTTCCAGTA